CATTTTATACCATTATCGAGTAGAGCAAATAAAACTGGTTATAATCGACATAAACATCTGGTTGGATTTGGTGCATCCCTAGATAAATCATATTTTAAACTTAAATTCATTCATGTTCTAAGTTGATCTACAAAACCAATATTCAGAAATACAATGAAAAAAATTGTTTTTTTGATTAAATAAAACGTAAATTATTTTCTATTTTTTCTTTCTTGTCAGATTTTGGTCTCACATATTGTCCAAATGGTGATCTTCTTCAACATATCACAGATGCTGGTCATTTTAATGAAGAAACTGTACGATTTTATGCTGCAGAATTCGTTGAAGCACTTGAACAATTACAAAATCGACATATAGTTCATCGTGATCTCAAGGTATATTTACATTTATTAATTTATTTAGAAAAGGAAATTTTTTTTTTCTAGCCAGAAAATATACTTTTAACTGATGATATGCATATTCAATTAACTGATTTTGGTTCTGGTGTAATTATTGACAATAATCAATGTGAATAAAATTTAAATGAAAACAACTATAATGATAATATTTTGTCTATTGTTCTTTTAGCTCCTTCTCAATTAGATAATAGCAAAGATGTAGATGAAGACAAAAAATTATTAAAACGTAATTCATTTGTTGGTACTGCTCAATTTGTAGCACCAGAAATACTTAAACGTGGTGCTATTCATTTTGGGTTTGTAAATGAAAAAAAAAAAATATTATTTCATTCGTTATTTTCGTTTAGATCTGATTTGTGGTCATTAGGTTGTATTATTTATCAAATGGCTACGGGTAAACATTTATTTCGTGGCCAGTAAGTCTTATTCTGTATTTTTATACAAAAAAAACTATTTGAATTAGTTTAGTCATGAATATGATATTTACAATGCTGTTGTACGAGTTTCTTATAAGTTATCAGATGATTTGCCTAAACTTCTGGGTGATCTAGTTCAAAAGCTTGTTGTATGTTATTTTATATGATATTCAATATTGAGATTTTTATTTGATTTTTTTTCTTTTGCATGTAGCGTCTTGAACCAAATGAACGACTTGGCAGTGAAGAAACAGGTGGTATGAAAAAACTTAAAGAACATCCATTCTTTAGTGAATTTTCTTATGATACGAGATGGGGTCATTTATTAAATCAACAATCACCACTTGAAGCAAAAGTGAAACTTAGCTCGAGACCACAACTTAGTGATGATGAGGTAAATATTTAAATAAGAACATACAAAGCATTTAAATCCCGCCACAAATTAACAGACCATAGCTTTCTATTGTAGATTAGGTTTTTTTTTCACTAGAAAAAATAGTAGTTTTCTTTAATGGTATTTTACTCAAAAATTGGTGTTTTTAGGTGCTAAAATCCGTTACATTTTCAAAAAAGAGTTTTGGACAATCCATGATCTTCTAATATAGGATGACCTTTTATTCTGGAGAGAAGATATTAAGAGCGTTTTAATAATTGAAAAAACTTTAGTAATGAAACTAATTAGCAATTTTTTCGTAGTTGAATATTGAAACCATTAGCTTGTATGATTGAAGAAAAATCTCTATTGAAAGAGATTTCTATACTGATTATGATTATTTAAATCTTTTTGCTATTTGATAGTTCGTAGATTAGAAAAAAAAGGTTGATTAGTTAGACTAAATTTCATAAGAGTAATTGTTCAAAATTCTAATGTAAGCTAATTCATTGATTTGATAAATATTTCTATTTAATTCATTTCAACTCAAATATAAATACAAGAGATTGTTTATAAAAATTAAATATAAAATCTGCGTTATTGATTACTTCATGGGATATATTGAATAGAGACGAATTATAAACAAATAAAAATATATCAAAAAGTACTGGCTAAAAATATAAGATCAATGTATGTTTGATTTTTTTTTGTTACAATACCTAGCATATAACTTAAATCCAAATAGTGGTTTGGATAGCCAATGAAGTTCTCTATCAAATGCATGCATTATCGAAATTTCATAGGTTAATTACGAGAGAGAAAGGTTTCTGAAAATTGAAACACGGTAGTTTTCAGGTCTTATAAAACTGTGTAAAAATTAGCTTTTAAGAGTACCATCTTTAAGAGCACAAAATCCAAAATAAAATGAGGAATTGCCGCATTTTCTACGAATTTCCTGTGAAAGGTTATAAGCATTTTAAAAAAAAATGAAATTTATCACAGCATTACTGAAAAACGCATATTTTGTGTTTTTTATGATGGTTATAGCTTTTTACGGGAAGATCATGAAAAATGCGGTAATTTCTCATTTTCTTCAGAATTTCGCGCTCTTTAGGTTGATACACATAAAATCTAATTTTCACATAGTCTTCTAGGACCTGAAAACTAATGTATTTGATTTTTCAGAAACCTTTCTCTCATAATGCATTTATGAAATTTCGGTATTGGAATGCATTTCATAGAAGCCTTTATTGGCTATCTAAATCACTATGTGGATTGAAGTTAAATATTTGGTATCATAGAAAAAGAATAAAAAACACGTTGGCCTTATATTTTGGGCCAATACTGGAAACTATGCAGTCATTTGATTATATGTATAATTTTGTAAGGTCTATTTTTAGACATATCGATAACATTAATATTATTGCCGTTTTCAAAAAGCAATGGATGTGGCTATTTTTCGAATAAATAGAGAATAACGAAATTTCATTGATCAGTACTCTATCAATCAGGTGAGTTCTTAACAGAGATTGTAA